TCTCTCTCTATCTACCTATCTATCTATCTATCTATCTATCTATCGGTCTATCGATCTAAGAACCAAAGTGCCAGCAAAGCAGCTGGCACAGCTGCTATGGTTTGCCGTAAGCGCCGTCATCGCACCTGGGCAAGCATTGACAAAGTCATGCATTCTGCATGAGCCCCACATGCATGCCTGTGCATGTTAAGGCAAAGATGATCTCCTGGAAGCCATGGCTTCAGCAAGCAAGAGCAGAGCCCATGTCAACCGCAACCTCATGCATGTGATCAAGAAGCATGGTGCATCTATGTCGGTGGCCCTGGATACAGTGCCAATACATGTACGAGTTTTTCGGCCAAAGGTGAAAACTGTGAAGCTTCACTGGCCGATACTCCCAATGACCTCATGGCTGGAAGCACTGCACCGCGAATGCCCGCAATTTTTGTATGGTGGACATGCTAGTTTGGGAGCTGCCAAGGGGATCTTTCGGGAGTTTTGGGCCAGGCTGCAGCCCTTGGTGTCCTCGCACCCAATATATTGGTCCGGCAAAGACCTAGGTTCATGCCTGCCAATGCACTGGCACGGTGACGAGGGCCGGGGCTCAAGGAAGCAGCCCTTCTTGGTCCAGGGATTTCAGCCGATTATCCCCTGGCAAGGCCTCTCCAAGACGAATGTCTCAGGGTGGCTTATCTGAATGAAGCTGACCATGCATGTCATGTTCATGTACATGTCGCTGACCATGCTTGTCATGTTCATGTTCATGTGCAGAATGGCTGCAATGTACATGCAGCTGTAATATATGAAAGCCAAGGCACTCCTTCATGACCCGGTTGCTCCACAGCTGCATCTCGAGCCGCTCAATGACGGAGACCACCTTGGATGAGCTGAATGCAGCTTGGTGTTCAGAGGCTTTGTCCCTCTATGAGGAGGGATGGGAGGCTTGGGCTTGCATGTGCATGCATGAGTAGACAAGATTTCCTGGGCATGTCACTTCCTATATCGTGTAGCAGGATCTTGAGTCCGAGCAGCTATATCGTGACCCACGACTATGGCAGAAATGAGATGCATATCCGAGGTATACGTACTGTATGTGGAAATTATATGACCACTGTTGTGGCCATACCTGCAACAGAAGCATGCAGAAATAGTTCTGGTTAGTCATCGGAATATACAATATATATACAATATATATATATGTGTTTATTATTATTATTATATTATTATTATTATTAAAATTATTATTATATTATTAATTATATTATTATTATTAATATTATTGTTATTATTATTATTGTTATTATATATACATATGATATATAAATACATATATTTATTATATTATATAGCTTGGTAGCAGTCCTTGTTGTTCTTGTTGCTGTTGTAGCTACTACTAGTAGACAAGTAGTAAAAGTGGGTACTAGTAAGTACTAGTAGGAAGTAGTAGTACTAGTGCTACTAGTACTAGTACTAGTAGTA